CTAGGTAACAAGCTTGATCACCACGATCCATTCTAGAAGCACAAGATTAACAAGCAAAGAGCGGGACTGAACTGGATTCGAGTTCCCATAGTGTCATGAACAACCGATTCTTTTTTGCTTTCGAGATGAAAATGAAAACACTCACGTGGCACGTCTCTCCCTCTCACGGGATGGATATACGACTGTTATGTACCAAATATTTAGTTGATGATCTATTCTTCTCCGTCTGTGTAGGCTCATTCGGAAGAGGACACAAGCATGTCTCCTAAATTGCAAGGAATCTTCAATCCGTAATATTTTTGTTTTTGAAGTCGAAGAGTGCGTTGTAGCTTTTTTTCGATGACTCAGAACGGTTGCATTCTACTTCAACAGAGACCGTTCAGACGATCTTATAGTTTTCCAATTCAAGTGATAGGCCTGAAACTCCTAATACTGTCAGAAGAATCGACTGAACCTGTTACCTATGTTATCTTCGAGCTTTCTATTAGAAGAGGTTGTTTCGAGAAGTAAGCACGCGCACAGTTCGAGGGGCAGGGCAGGGCGTGTTTGCTGACTACAAACAGGACAACACAGATCCATATAATTCCGCAAACTGTCTCCTACAGCTGATGTATCTCGTATAGCTGTTCTAGTTGACATCAAGGTGGAACTAGGTTTCTCTACTGTCCCAGAAAGATTTCATTTACATAGGAACAACTCCAGAGGAGTATCTCAATTGAGAGAAGATGAATATGTGGAAATCATCGAATACTCTGATAGCTACAGACGAAGTGAATGAGAAATGATGAAAGAATAATAAAATTTATATTGCTTAGCAATAGCATACACGTATAACAGGAAGGCCACCTATAATATAAAACTATTGCTATTGACCATAAAAATAATTGGTAAAGATTTGGCAAAACGTTGAAACATAACTTGACATCAAACAACTGAGATTATTAAACATTTAAAGAAAAATACATAAAAGGAGAACGAGCTCAAATATCAATTTAAAAGAAACCTAAAAGGAAAGACAACGAGGGCGACAAATAACCGTGTCATTCAATAATTCGAGAGTAAAAACAGCTGAGATGATGATATGTGCAATAAAGTCTTCTATGAACCATAAAAATGAGTATAATTACATTAAATTTTCCGACACGTATGATTTGGATGGGTAGCATAAGTCTAGATTATATTTAGCAATATTATGTGAACCCCGCAACGAGCTTATTAAAAGGAGCCAAACTCTACGAATACTCTAAGATCCATAAATACGGCTAAGTTCATTGTTCAGGACTTATATATCCGATAGTTAGAGGGAAGCTAGCTTCTTCTTCGTCCAGTTCTTCGTCGTCATGCTCGTGGTCTTGGTCTTGTTCATCCTCATTTTCTTCGTTATCCGTTGATACACCCACGATTCGAGCACCAGTAGAACCCATTTGTTGCCTTCTCAAATCATACAATGAGCAGATGGTTGCAAACTTGATACTTACAGCTTTCCAATATCCTGAGCAGTAGGAGTAGGCATATCGACAAAGAGGGTTGGGTAGCATTTTTTGATAGTTCCTTTGATATCTTCGGCATACTTCAGTCGATTGTCTACAGGTCGATCGTTACTGTCATGTACTTCACGAATATGCTTTGAAACATTGTCACGTCCAGTGCCACCCTGAAGCAAAAAAAAAAGTCAAAGTTGTTTGAAAATAACTCACAAAATCGCATTTAGGACATAGGTACAGATGTTGATCCATATGAGTATAAGCATGCTCACCCAATCTCGAATTAGTTAGTTTTCCACATAATTCACATGAAGCCATCTCTGTAGTTTTCTTCTTGTAGTAGTGAGCACCACCAAGAAGTAGACTGATCTTAAAAACAAACCATGCAAAAAAGAAACATGTTTAGAATGCAACTGTTCTGTGCGTCACATTGCTATGACCCACCTCTCTTAGCTTGGCCATTTCTAATTTTTTAACTTTAGAAGCTGGTCGTCGAAGACCAAATCTAGGAAATTTCCCGTTCGATCGTTTCTTCCGAGCAGGTGTTCGAGAAGGTGAAGAGTCCTGATATTATTAATGTAACGAGAACAATCTTTAGTTAGAACAACCTCATCAGTAGCTTCTTCTTTGGTGGGAGCTTCTAAACTGCTCTTGAGATCAAACGAACTGCCGTCTTTTAAATCGGAGACTGTTTCTGTTAGAGGTGTTAAGTCTGGCTTATTTTCAGTCTCCAAAAACGGTTCTGTCTCAGTCTCGTCCATTGTGTTAGGCTCTTCTTCCTGGAACCGACTGGCGTTCGTTTCATCCTGTTCGCTGTTAGTTCCTTCACCGTCCTCTTTCTTCATTTTCTACACGAGTTAATAAGCATTTCTAACCACCAAGCACCAGGACAAAAATTTAAAGTATGAAACTTACCGATGATGGCATAGTTACTGGAATTTTGCTTCGACGCTTGTTATCTTGAGAGAACAGTGCTTGGAATCCAAAACATTTCTGTGACATCTGCTTTACTTCCTCTTCATACTCCTGTAACGAGAAGGGCTGGATGAATAAGACAAACGTTTTACACATACGTTAATGCGATCTTGAACTACATCTTCAGTACCGTGTTCTTTCTTTCCGTGAGTTTGCACGGACTGAGAACGATCGTGACCGAAACCGCAAAATTTACAAATGTATCTATTGATACCCATATCTTTGGCCATATGCCACAAGATGTGGAAACCTCTTATCTGAAACATTTAATACTCAGTAACAATCAGTCTGGAAAGATACTAACTCTGTTCTGCATAGTTTTTCCACATAAACGGCATTCCAAAGGATGCTCGTCATCTGTAATGCCACGACCAGTTATAAGAGAATTCGACATAGTGGCCGGAGATTTTGCTGCAGCTGAATTTTGCCCTCGAGTCTATATTTAAGCCTTACATTACAGTATAGTTACTACATCACAGCAAGGATTAAAAAAACTTACTTTATTAGCAGCTTGCTGAGCCTGATAAGTTGCTTCAGCTTTAACCGCTGTTGGTCCCGGTGTGCTACCGTTCTTAGTGCCTAATAGTTCCATTGACAACTCCTGGAAAACGCAGATTCAAACGAAAAATATTATGCAGATTAGAAAGCTGGTGAGAAAGCTAGTGTATAGAACAGTTTTGGTAACTTCGAGTGATGCTCGCAAAAAAAGCTTGTTATTAAATGATATATTGAAAAGCAATAATTCTATTTGAGATCCAAAAGTGAGAAAGAGTCTTAACAAAGCTATTGATCGTTTTTAAACTTTACAAACTAAAAACGAAATGGAGGAGAGACGAACACATATCACAACTAATTTTTTTGTTCATGGCTTCTTGGTTAAGCAACTCCGAACTGGGTTAGTTCTCAGGCAACACAACAGGACTTAACTAAAAGCAAAGTAAAACATGCATGAGGTTAGAGTTAGTAAGCTGTTAAACAAAAAATGAATGTGAGTTCGTATTCTTGCGATTGAAATTGAAAGATACAGGGAGAGACCTGTTAGTGTGCCTGAGAACTCACCTGCTTTGGAAATATTGTAGATATCAGAGATCGGTTGGATACAAAAAGCTCATGATTCAATTCCTGAAATCACGAGACAACACTGATAACCAACAATAAAGATGCAGTATGGGACAGGTTCAACGGACTGTTAGCTCAATGCCGTTACACAGAGCTGGCACCCTGACCACCTATTCCTGATCTTTTCATCGGTCTTTCCAAAACAACTTTTATGCATTATTTTTTGTAGTAAGTTCGCAAACTTGGTCAGAAACTTTTTAAATTCGATAGCACGCGTAGTTCATAAAAAATCATTGGACGTTTCAAATGTTGGATGCCAAACATAGAGCAGAACAAGCAAAAACGACTTTCAAGAAAAGCGGGAATCATCGACATCAGTCAGGTCAGTCAGTCAGTCAGTCACAAAGGGGTGGATTTGAAAAGAAAAGCAATTACCTGACAACGCTGGAAAAGTTCTAATGAACGGTCCTCCATCATATCCGGATCAATCTTGCCGTGAACTTTTGACTGATGATTTTCCATTTGGTCTTTTCGATAATGTTCGACTTGGCAACCTTCGAATTTACACCGGAAACGATACGTCTGCAAATGTTTATGAATAAAGAAGCTGAAAGGCTTGTCATACTCCGTGATCTTTGGCCAAATGGAAAAACATGTGCATCTGTCGAGCACCGGCCGTAACAGGCTTGTTACATTTACTACATTCTCCTAATACACGTTTTTTGCTAACTCTGAAGACAGATAGAATAGATGCATCGGTGAATTGGGAAAAGACTCACTGGCTAGATTTTGCATTGTTTGAGCGTTTCTCAACTGCGGCTTCTTCAATCCTACCATCTGTCTGGCCAAACAAAGCAGCCACATCATCAAGGACAGATCTGTAAAATGTTGATCCAAAAAGATCAAAGTGGTTTGACTTACAAAGGATTCAAGGCTTCAAGAACATTCTCATCTCCATATCCTTCGAGTTCAGTTTCATTATGAGCACTATTTTCTATCAATTGATCAATATCCGCTTTCAATTTCTTAGAGGAGAACAAGGAAGTCAGTGGGTTTTCTTCGTCCATAACTGAAACAAAGGCAAGTTAAACAACCATTCGAGAATAAGAGTAGACGTGACATGATGCACTTCATGTAATTTGCATAAATTCGAATTACGTGGCGTGCATCGTGGCGCGTGGGGCGTCTCTCTTATCATCATTTTTAAATCCAAGCGAGAGTGAATCGGTCGGTTTTCAAATTTGCAAAAATGGAGAACCCAAAATACTATACAGGTAATTTTGATAGAATTATACCTTCACCATCTATGAATGCTCCAGCTGCGGTGGCTGCCCGACTGATACAGGCCAGTAGAGCATCTGTGCTTGATGAGCCTTCCGTAATTTCAACATGGGGACGTTTACGACCTTCAGACACGGTACCAGGCATCGGCTCGGCTGGAGGAGACTCAGATAAGTCGAATTTTGGATTCTTAAAATTCTAAAAGAGAGAGAGAGAGTGTTTGATAGAGAAGCTGACGTGTACAAACCTCATCTATAATGAACGAATTTCTCATATTATCCAATTGCATTAATGAGCCGTTAGAATTACTATTGTTTTTATCTTTTGCTGATTCTGCTTTCTTGCGTGTAATAGCATTACTCAACGAACGATCCATAAGCTTTTGAAGTTCTCGTTTCGCAGTGATGTTGTCGGCGTAGATAAACTTGAAGGAGAATGATAAGATAGGATAACTGTTTACAAATTACCTTGTGCATAACTTTTCTGTGCATAACATGAACATGTTCACGCATTTGAGCATCAGATGCTCGCTCACATAAACAGATCGGGCATTGGAAGGGGAGCCAACGTAGATGCTCTGTTTTAATGTGAACCTGTCATAACATATCAAGTGAGGAACAGATTCATGTCATTAAGCATACCTCCATTTCTTCTGAGCTATTCTTTTCAAGCCCACAGTCATCACATATCAATGTCATGAGTGGTGTGTTATTATAGATCGAGCCAGGATCACTTGGTTCATCCGCTAGTACTGTGTTCATGTTTTCTGATGACTAAAAATAGAAAACATGATTGAGCCACACTTCTGCAACAGCACGAACCCCGTTTGATACTCCGTTTTGTTGCTTTTGTAAACGAGCAGCGATATCTTCGATGCCACAGTTTTTAGAAATCTATAAAAAGACAATAAGTTATTACTAAATTGCTTGAATGCCATGCCTGTCCTAAAGCAGAAGTCGTTCCTCCCAAAATCTGTTTTACGATCATCTGCCCTCTTGATTGCATCAGTTCGGGTGGGTACATTCAGCACATTCACCTGAAAAATTGAGTGGTTCAATGATTGTTTTGAAAAGAAATGTGGCGAATGTAAATGATAACGAAGAGAGAAAGAAAATTTCAATAAGAAATTGAAACAGATTTCGATTAGGAGATGTTCGGGAAGGCTTCATGCTTCTTAAGCGATTAAGTTACTCTTATACTACATCAAGATGGGAGTAAGATGAGAAGATGTTTCATAAAATGGAAACTTCTAACAATATGCTAATTCAAATAAAAATGTAACAGAGGCATAGCGCAACCCAAAAATGTTTTCATCTGATGAAAGAATAGAATCATAGACACTCCCATAAAGTTGTTTATATTCTCGACAGATCAGAAAAAGTAACGAGATTACGTACTTGTACGTAGAATGGCTCAATACAGCCTTCCCAAAAAGGCAAAAATTACATGAAATAGGAAGAAGTTGTCAATAGGATGATTAGGAATGTTATATGGAAGAAGAAGAAGAAGAAGAAGGAACAGAACATTGTGGTCTGCAGAGAACAAGGAAGAGAAGATGTGAATGATTGGGGCCATGCGAAGAATATGAAAGAATATGAAAGAAGATGAAGATGAAGATGAAGATGACGACGACGACGAAGATGGTGACGATGAACTGTCGTCAACGGCCACTATGATACAGAATATGGACGAATGCTGTTGAACGGAATTCGATTGTCGAAGGGAAAGAACAACGGATGAATAGATGAATTCGAACGCGCATCAGCGAAGACTAAAACCATGAACATTCTGAGAACTGGTTCTTCTGACAATGTGAAAATGAAGACGGTCGGATTTCTTTCTGAGAATCTGAATAACTTCAACGTTGATCACAACATATTCCAGCTATCACTTCTAGATTACGGATTATGCATACGTAAAGGCAGAATTATGAGTACCGTTCGCATACAACAAACAGTTGAACAAGAGTACAGGAGGAGAGAGGTCTGCTAGGCCATAAACGACTCTAAACGCTCAATAGACGGTTTAAACAAAGTCATCATGCAGTTCGTATGAGTTTATGAAATATCTATGAACATCTAAGACATGAAAACGAACAGCTCAAGGATGGTATGATTGTTCTCCACGGCTCAATGATCGAAATTCACTTTCACCCATAGGGGTGATGTAGAGGAGTAGGGTATGAGAGTGGGGGAGAGAATGGGAAAGGAAGAGAGCATCCAATATCTATGCGTCTTAAATCATAAATTTTGAAAAGTTTAATGGCTTTACATGAAGCATTGTTAAGATGAAATAAAAACAGTCTGCACCAACGAAAACGTCCTCATAGATGAATGAGTTGAAGCGAAATGGTTTCAGATGTGATTCAGACCTGAGAACTGATAACATTGCCTGCTAGGCAGAAACTTCTGTGTAGAAGGAGAGCAAATATGGACTGTTATTAAAAGATAGAGAGAATAAGAGAGAAAAAAGGGTGAACTGGCGTCAGTTTGAGAGAATATAAGAATAGAAAATAGTTTGGAGTTTTATGAGATAGACAGACAGTCGAACCAAGTGACGACAAGGGTTAGATGCTCTCTGCTCTGTAAGACAGCAGTTGCTGCACAAGCACCTTTGGCCTGATTCTGGAGTCATGAGACGGCCTAGTTGATTCGTCTTATCATCAGAGGACGCATAGAGCGGTGAGAAAAGGAATAACTCTCAATGACAAAAAAATATTTGGATAAATATTCTGAATTCGTGATGAGAAAATGAATAAGAGAAGAGTAGTTTGTTCAAATGTGGAAGAGTTCGAACTAACAGAATGATGAACTGATAATGTGAATGTTCTTGATAAACATACTGTTATCACGTAAAAGCTGAAGTCGTGAAGTTTGTAAGAGCACTCCTAGAAGCAGATAAATGTGAATGAAAAGCTGAACAGACGATTGCACGAGATGGCCCACAAGAACAGTTGTTCAGATGAGAAGAGTTCTTCGCTCCAGCCCTGCTGAAGAGCAAGATGGCCGGAACAGAAAGATTTGAAGATATTGAGGAGATCAAAGAGAGCGAGACGTAAGAAGATGATGAGAGAATTTCAACGTCGAGCCGCCGTCATCTATTACAGCCTGACTCGCATCATCCGACGTCGTCAGGACCAGAAGTCAGAAGCTTAGAGATAGATAAATGAATCGACAGAGAGTCTTAAGATACGAAAGATAGCCAATGTGTTGAAAGCAAGACCATTGAGGAACCTTGCAGATGAAGACAATCGTCATCGTGCACATGACGTATTCCTATCTCATTACCATTTCTCTGACCACCAATGGAAGAGTCAATCAATGATGAATTCTGTTGCATCAAGGACGAAGAAGTTCATGAACAACTGATTTTCGTATATCCTCAACTAGATGAAGGCGTCAATCAGCATGAAACTCCTGACGAATCAAAACGGTTGCATTCCTTACAAATTCAATTTGAAAACGAAAAATTCATTTCAGCAGGTACTATCATAGATGATTCAGACGAAATTCGACGATAGCATTTCATTTACACAACGTGTTTCAGCGCTTGGATTCAGATCTTTTCTTGCTTTTCAATGAACTATGCAGTCAGATAGAGAATGAAATGGATTCTTAATGAGATAATGAGGAAGCTCTCGAAGATATGAAGCTAGAAAGCGGTGAATTGATGTCAAAACTCTTCAGTTCAATCACTTTCTGATTGATAGAAAGCAAAGAGAGAAAATGATACAAAGGAAGAGAAGGAAAATGAAAGTGGAAGAGACACGGAGAAGTTGTATAAGAAGCCGATGATAGCACACGCGAGCAAAAGATACCTTCACACGAGTATGAATCAGACACTTCGTCGGCTTTAGAAGCAAATGCAAATTTTCATTTTCACGTTGATAAGCAAGGATTGTTCAGATGATTCGACCTCATTGAGAGTTACAACGTATTCGTTGTCTATGTCGACCTATAGGCCTGACCACAACACAAGGCTCACAACCCAAGATGCCCAGAACATAAATATTAAAAATTAAGAAAATATTCTGTGGCGTTGTCGATTTATTCAGTTATTCTAAGCAACGGCAAACGTGACTCCACCCATCGGAGTTTGTCATGGACGTGTCTCTATCATCGAATGTCGGAAGACGAGGAACTGATGATTCTCATAGTACTCAGGAGAAGCCAGTGGGTGTTGAGCAAGGAAAAAGATATTCGGGAAGATGAAGAATAGATGAGAGAGTTATGATTAACGTGGAGTAGCCATGGAGTGTCTAACAAATGAAGAAACAAAATGCTTCAGAGAGGAAGAAGAAGAAAGCCTGATGGGTAGGATGGGACACACAGAGGATAGAAGGACAACAGCCAGAGGAAAAGAAGAATGAGCGTCTCATATCTTGGGCGAAGCAGCAGCAACACATAGATTCAGAGACCAAACAGATGATGTTGAAGTAGAAGACGAAGAGGACGAATAAGAAGTAGCAAAAGAAGGCGAAAAGGAGAAGAAGAAGAAGAAGAAAAAGATATTTTTCCTTTTCCAACCTCAAGAAGATTGTAAAAGGAATGGTCTTATCTAATGGAACGTCTTTTCTTTCTGAAGCAATGTTACTTCCGACTTCATCACAAGGCTTCATTCATATGAATGAAAATGGTTTTGTAGATGAAGTATATATAGCCAATATTGAATTTGAAGCCTTTCATCATCGTCATGGAGATGGCTTTATAGGTAGTATATCTCTCTATATGGATGATGATAGACGTTCGTTTCAAGCAAAGATGATGATAGTAGCTTAAAGAAGAGAAAAAAGAATAATTATTATTTTAATTTCGCAACAGACAATGAGAAGGAGAAGACGAAGAAGAAGACGAAGAAGATAAAGATGGGATTTGAAGAGGGAACAAGAATGAACTGTTATCGATTGTAATAGAAGTTAAGGAAGGAAATGAGAAGGACTGATTACAGATGACATCAGACGAACAGCGACTGGAATCAGACGTTTTTGATGAAACAGAATGTTGCTACAAGAGCGTCTTGATCAGATTCTGAATACTGTCGCAAAAGATTTTGTCGACAGTTGATGACAGGCAGTTGAGTGCGATACGGAAGATTGAAATGACGTGTGGTCGACGCCAAAATGCCACGAAATTCACAGATGCTTCAGAATTCGTCCCAAAAGGACAATTCTGTTAAATGACAGAAAACAGTATTCCAACACTCTGGACATACTAGATTGCTATAGAGAAAGTGGAAGAGAGAGATGAATAGAGAGAGAAAGAGAGATGGATAGAGAGAAAGAGAGAGACAAAGTAAATCCATGGATGAAGAAGGATCATGTAGTTTGATATTGCAGCCCATCAAACTCCCACTCCAGGAAGGCAGGTGAATAAATGCAGAGAAATGAGAGGCGTTGGTGCTGAGAAGGATGGAGTTGAATACGTGAAGCGATTCAGGAAAATGAAGTGTAAAGTAAGAAGAGGCGATAGCAAGGGAGTATAAGCATTGCATGATAAGAAGATGACGCTTACTGCTGAATCAGTTATGCATTGAAGACAAGGCGTCAAAGGAAGGAAAAGCATCTTATGTTTGCAAGGAACGATGAAGAAGAAGAAGAAGAAGATGAAAAAATGAATGAAAGGAGATGATGAGAATGCAGAAAAAGCTGCCGTCTTGTCCATCATTCAGATGGTTAGACTGGATGGCGTCCAACAACGAAACTGGCATCATACTAAAAAGTAGTCCGTCAGTCAGTCATTCAGACGACGCTTTTCACGACATCACAGAACTTGGAGCTTCAAAGAAATCTAAAGAGCATTCTCTGCCACTCATCCCGAGGGATTCTTGTACATGTTTGAGAGCAAATTCAGATATGCGACAAGCATCTGAACCTTTTCTAACAAAGTTATCAACAAGGAAAAGAAAATTAAAGCAACCTCTCTATGTGTGTGTGTGTGTGAGAAATTTGAAGAAAAATGAAAGAAGCTAGACAGCTTCACGTGTGGCTT